AAAAAAATAGCTCTGTAACTTTGTTTGTAAAGACGCAACGCAGGTTTTTGCAAAATTTTATTCGAAACTATCAAGCCGTTAGGGCTGTGCATCCATTTAAAATTTGCAATAATTATTATATAAAATTATTACTTATCTAAAAATTTTCGTTAATGAATTTTATTATATACCACATATAGTTTTGATTTACTTAGTTGACAGACCACCCCAATGTAACATGGTTTGAATTGCATAGAACTTAATACAATTATAGTGAGCATTTGATATAGTAAAGATTTGATAGAGTGAAAAATTTTGAATTATAGAATTACTAAACTTCGATATAAACTATAATGAAGATTTAATGACTTCATGATAATTAAAGTGATGAATTTATTTGCTAAGCACAGAAACAGTAAATCAAATAGTTAAATCAAGATTTGAATATAACGATATGCAATATCAATATTGGTCTCTCAAAACGTTATCAAGTTGCCAAAACACTTTACTATATACATAAAAAATAAATTTGCCCTTAACATGTTCTAGACTATATTATAAAATAAAAAATAGCAAGTTCGTTATTAACAGCTTTTTTAACAGTAAATTTTATCTAGATTGTAATAAACTTAACCTAATTTTGATGTATATTTGCACTGGCAACTGCTAAATACTCAAGGCTCTGCTTCTATCGTGCTTATGACAGTGCCACTAAATTTTCATATTGAATCAAAGAAAATTAGATCAAAAGAATTATTTTAAAGTAAATAAATTTCTATTTTGATAGTTTAAATAGCATAAGTTAAACAGATTATAAACAAACAGAAAGTTTGATAATGCTTAAAGGTAGTTCTCATCTAACTTCTGAATTACTCATCAATTACTAGTACTTAGCACAGTTTCTAAATTTTTACATCACAGCTCTGCGAATTCGTATTCGTGGCTGCGAATTCATTCTTATGACTGCAAATTGTTGCTTTTATTATGGTGGCATGATCGGTAAAAATCAATAGGATCACTATGCTCTAATATAGTTGTTAGCTGTGAAAGTTATCAACGAAACAAAAGCACCAACAAAGCTCCGGCGGGTCTACTACAGCCCTTGGAAATTCCAACCCAACCATGGTAACATAAGTGCATTTGCACTTATCTTTTAATGATTAATATTAATGATATATTGCATTATGTAATTAATTTTACATTGCATTATTGCTGTTTGTTTTACATAAAAATTTTTATAGTTTTTTAATAAATGCATTACTAATAATATGATGCTTATTAAGAGGACGACTGTAATATTAATTAATGCTGTTAAACTATAGTTATACTCGAAATTCGAACTAATGTTCCAAAGATATTGTTCTCATGAAAACATTCATTGAACTGAATGCATCATTATGCACAAGTTAAGTTATAGATAAACGCAATTTGCACTTCCTTATCAATGATTAATGTACAATAATACTGTTAATAAAGTTATGATTTTCTGCGGTAAACAAATAAATAAAGATCACCGCAAAGCAAAAAAATCATTGTCAGTAAGCAAATAAATAAAGATCTGTGCATATTGCCATTGAGTTTAAAATTAATAACAGATAAGGGGCTTCCGTAATTTATTTTAAACCAGTATTGTTAAAGGGGTCTTAAAGATAATGTATAAAAATAAAGGCCCTTATCTTTATACAATACAACAATGTAATACGTATTAATTAATGCTATTAATCGAAATTAATGATACATACTCATGAAAACAGTCTTTGAATTGAATACATCATCATTATGCACAAGTTAAATTAATGACAGATAATACATTTACTATCGTAGCTCAATTTCTATGCATTAAGTTATACGAAAATTACGTTTTTGATGCTCTTCGACTACTTTTTTGATGTATCCGCATAAATTCTATGAAGATCATATCAGAAACGTAATTTTGGAATTTTTTGTCTGTTCTAATTTAGTGTATCAAAATATGCATATTCACGCGTTTGTGTATTAAGATAATTATCTATAATGCTACGCATTTTCTTAGTAATATCAAATACTATCTATATTAAACAAACCTGCATATCTTTATTTTAGAAAGTGCAAATAAACATCTCAACAGACTTTGATTATAAAATTATTATATTTGAAACTACTTTCCTACTCACTTTTCTATCAATAATTACAATGATTATCATTATACTATACTATACAATGTATAGTAATACTGTTAATAAAGTTATGCATATTCAAAGGACAATATTTCTGCGGTGATATCTTTAAATATCACCACAGAAAATCATCGTCCCTGTGCATATTGTCATTGAACTGAATGCAAAAGTTAAATTAATAACAAATCAGTGTAAATTGCACTTATCTATCAATGATTAATATTACATGCATTATTGGGTTTTCATGCAAGTCACATAATTATTAATCAATTTTTTTTATAATTAACATAAAATTTAATTGGAATAATTACAAAGCCACACAAATAAAATTATATATGTCGGATTAATTTTAGTGCACTCCCGACAAATATAATATATTTGTGCGTGTTTACTTATTCAAGAGTTATTGCAATATAATTTTTATATGTTTTTACTTATGCACCACCGCTAATTATAAAAAATTTTGATTGATTGATTATTATTTCTATATGCTTACACTATGCTTATGATTAGACTTGCATGAAAACACTATGCAGTTACTGTCGCAGTGTTACGCGGTACCCATGTGACTGGTGATCGGGTACGTACGAAAGTCGTGATCTAATTAATGCGTAATCCGTATCGGGTGATCACGACTTAATTAAAAGTTAAAATATTGATGCATGAACAATGAGTAAAGTACAGTATGTAATAATCAGTGACGCAAATGCGTATTAGTAATAAATAAATAAGGTATCGATCCAAAAGGGGAGATACCAGATTGAACCTTGGAGATAGAACTTTGAGTTCTTTGAATATTCTTAGTGAATAAACTGTATCTTAGTGATCATATTGGTGGTAATATCTGGTACGATACACCAGTCATCGTAAATTGCCAAGCGAGTGTAAATTGATAGTAAAGACCCACTAATACACGGTAGTTTAGGTAACGCATTAATTAATGCTGTTAAACTAAATTTATGCTCTGAATTAAGATTAGTGATCTCAAAGATATTGCTCTCATAAAAACAGTATTTAAATTTGACATTTGGTTAACCAATTAATTAGCTGAATATTATGTTAGTAATTAATGTCCTGCAATGCTTAAAACGAAGGAACAGTAACTAATCATCGTTACTTATTTTCCTGATGCAATGGCATCATATAGGGTTAGGGTTAGAGTTTTATTAGTTATAGACCTTGTGTGATGTCAGGTAAATGGTCTGTCGAGCAAATAACTGTTGGGAAAATTAGTGCAACTGTAACTAATTTACATGAAGACAATTTACATGATAACTTGAAAACTATATAAACCTGTTAAGATTTTAGCAAGCTTAAAAATTGGACTCGCAAATTATTTAACAATGAAAAAACACACTTTTAGCTTACTTTTGGCCGTTTTCTTTTCTTATTTATTAATATCGATTATTACTGTTCACTCCTATGAACAGCGTACTACCATTACTATAACAACAGCAACAACGGTAGTCTGCGCAGCAACACCTTCTCCTGTTCTTAATTGCTCTTCAAATAATGATGATCAATTAAATTATCAAAAAAGACATCTTCAATATAAACCAAAACCACAAACCAAAACCACACAAACCAGAGCCACACAAGCCAGAACCACACAAAACTATAGAAACTGCCACTTGTAAAGCAGAACCACACAAACCAAAACCACATAAAACTAAAGAAACTGCCACTTGTACCCTTACAGAGACTGTATGCACTTGCGTACCTCAAAGTGGTCCATGTACAGCTGATTCTGAATGTTGTTTTTCTTCTGATGGGTGTGAATTTAGTGATTCACCATACCCATCTCCAACTGGGTATTGTCGTAAACATGGATGGTTAATATAAATAATGTACTTTTTATTAAATGTAAACCGCTTTTATTATTTGCAAATTCTTATTCATGACCTAAAATTTCTAATTACTATTATAGAAATATGTAAAATAACTTAAGATTGAAATATCAAATCTTATTCTAAATAAAAAATAAACATTCATACAGTATTTATGGATTAGTTTATTTGCAGTCATGGCTACGTGTAGCAGTATTCTATAATGTTTTATAATAAACCAAAATTTTACTAGGGTAACCCTTGTGATATAGGCGGATTTAACGCATTTGTAGATCATTTAAATGTTGCAAATCATACCAGGAACGAAGTGATGAATATCACGTAGTATATGGTTATACGACGATCGAAATGATGTTAGTACGTAAAATCTTGGATTCGATTGGTCCGCATTACTCTAACTGTCACCTGTTATTTATTTTGCACATGTCAAGCGTCACATTGTATGCTGCTAAAAGATCATCTTATTTTTTACGTACGTACGTACTCGTGCTGTACAGGTAAATCGTTAGTAACCTGCAGTACCTCAATGTAGGTTTACATTTTTCGATTTCATTTTATGGTTATTAAGGATAAATGAGATTGTATACTTGCGCTTTGACGGACTTTGTAGAATTTTTCGTATTCATCATGCTATTCATAATGAATCATATGCAGAGTTTCTTGATTCACATTTCTCTTGCATAAACTTAAACCCATCTTTACATATAAGGCAATACCGATTAGTTTTATTAACTGATAGCATTAAAGGATAGCTCATACCATAGAGAGATAACCTTTAATTTAGAGTAACGCATTTTAGAAATTTAAGAAATTTAGTTATTAACTAAAATTATTTAACAATCGAAATTAAATGCAGCCTAATTAATTGTTAATCTTATTGTAATGCTTGGTAAAAGATTAACTATACATTTTAGTCGTCAATAGTGACACAGAAAGTTAAATTTGTAGAATAGCAAAAAAGTTATAGATTATTATTGAATCCTATATTTTGATCACAAATTTAACTTGCAGTTATTAATTTGCACATAATAATAATTATTCACACTGTTATTCGGTTAATGATTGTTTTTTAACAAATAATCTCAAATATAATTTTAAAAGCATTATTGTCAAAAGTTATAAAAGATCAATATTCTGATCTCTTTCAAAAAACAAAAGATTTAAGAGAGTAGCAATAACAAAGTACAAATCTTATATTTCAAAAGAAAAATAACACGATATAAATCATAAAATGGTAAGTATTCGATTATGAAAAATTTTGTTTAATTTAACAATAGCATTATTTAAACTAATAAATGTTGTAGATATTTCAAGTGCGAGCTTTTTTCATTTTATTGGCTATGGTTCTGATGATAATAGTCCAAACAAACACTCAAGTAGAATGTGCGCCAACTTTACCGGCTAGCAATTCAGGTATTTTGAATTCTTGATTAATTTGACCTAAAATTCGTAATATATATTGTATATTCTGAAATTATTTTTGTTTTTTCTAGAAAATCGTAGGTCCTGTCCTCCATGTGTTACAGCAAAACCTTATCATTGTAATATTGCTTGTGTCGTAGAATAAGGAATTTATGTTAAAAAAATAATAAAGAATTTACTATTTCTTGGCTTTTATAGTTTGTATCTCAATATTAAAGTCTTTTTGTAAATTATATTGATATCAAGCTTTATATTTAAAATTTTTTTTTAATTTATCTCGCAAGTTCTGGTTATAGAGAGACCTTTACATGATTTATTTACAAGTGTTTTACTGTATAATATTAATGAAATGCAAACTGTTAATAAAGTAATGAACACGAGTAGCTAATTTAAATACTTTTATTAATAGGGTTTACGATATATATAAATAACATCATTTTTATCTATGGCTAATGTTAATTCTATTATTTATTAACGCATCACCATACATTGATATCGTACGTCAAATTAAAATTTGCGTCTCATTAAGATTTGGGTAGAATAAGTAATAGAGGCACAGTAATTTGACACAGATATTAATTTGACGCATACACTTTACTTATAATTTCACTGAACGGCGGCAATAGATAAAAGAGAAGCAATTAATTTTATTGTGTGCATATTTCAAAGTTATAGGAATACGGAATTGACGACTATAACACAATATTGCAATAACGTATATAATAATAGATGTATGTAGGAATGGTAAAAATCATGATTAAATCATATTCTGTGATTTAAAAATGATTTATACTTGATTTAAATCATTTGATCTTTATTACGTGATTAAAACAAATGCTAGCTGAATAAACAAAAACACCAAAGTTCGATCTGAATTTTGAACCTGTCAAACCAAAATATGTAATATTTCTTCGATCTTTAAAGTAATAAAATTCAATGAACTTTTCATCTTGTAAAAGATTTTTACATTTATTAAATAATCATCTAAACGATCATTATGCTGGTGGTATCTAGAAATGGGTTTCATGCGTGCATGATTCCTCAATCGTGCGCATTAATGCGCATGATTCGGAATCATGCGCATTTTATCCCATCTAAATTTTAAATAGGAAAATTAAAGTATATTTAATTTAGGCCAAGGTGTATAATGCCAGGCAAAATTAAGAAATAGGAATGTAGAAGTTTTGAAAAATTCTGAAAAGAAAATGAATGAACATAAAGATGAGAAGGGTCGGGAAAAATTTTGGTATTTTAAAAAAAATTATATCATGCGATATCATGCGCATTTTTCCCATCTCTAGTGGTATCCTCTTCACAATGGATACACATTTGACGAGGCATTTTTATCCGTGCCAGTAATGTCTAGTAATGTTTTTAAATTGTGAATAAACGTCTTTAAAAAATCTTTCATACATTTAAAATTACTCTTATATTATAATACCGAATCAAAATAATCAATTCGCAAATTCAACTCATATAGGTGGATTACATAATAAATGATTTAAATCATGCTTTAAATTGATCTAAATCAAAATCGGTGATTTAATTTAAATTATGTGCCATCCCAGTTGTATGTAAAAAATTTAACAATCATCACTCTCCAGTTTATTATTATTTACAACTCTCGACGTGAAACGATACCAATACTACAGATTTGACGAGAAAAACTTCCGTGAATTCCAATTGATGGTGATGTATGTTCAAATACAGTATATAAATCTCCTTTGTCACCACCACGCCATTCAGAAACTCGATCTTGATCAGTATGAAATTGGATTCCATACAATACAGATCCAGTTCGTATAAAGATATGTTTAATTTTTTCACCTTTATGCCAATCAAAGTCATAAGAATCACCATCACTTGGTGTACCGTATATATCAAATGTATCATCAGAATAAAAGAATCCAATAGCATTGATCATGTCTGATGACCAAATTCTTATTTTTTTCAAATATACTTTTTTAAACTTTTTAATCATTGCTCGAAATTCAGTACAATATCGGTTTCGAGTAGTAATTATATCATCAAAATAATAAAAATCTATTGATTTTTGTCCTAATTGTTTCTCTGCAGAAGTAAATTTTGCATGTTGTTGTTCAAGATCAATGACCGCTTTTTTCAAATATTTTATATCTTCAGCACTTGACTTTTTTGGAACGACCTTAACTTCTTTTGTAATATCTTGTATTTTACGACGGTACTCCTTTAAAAAGAGTTCAAAGTTTATAAGACTCGGTGCTATCTCTCGTAGTAATCTTATAATATCTTGCACTTGTCCAAGCTCTGATTCTACTCGCTTTCGTAGCGTATAATCGATAACATCTCCTAACCAATGTTTTCTTAAGGCCTGCTCAGCCTCACGTTCACCATCAAGAAGATACTCGTGTGCAATGTTTGCACCTTCTTGAACTTTATAAATTGAGCTAAGAACTTGCTTAAGTTGATCCTGAAACCCTGGTATCTGTTTTTCTATCGATTTGAGACGTTCACGAATAAAAGTTTCAAGATTACTTGAAACCGATTTACCATTTAATCCAATAAAATAATTGAAAAATGAACCTTCATACTTTTCAATTTCTTGAACAATTGACTTCATTTCTGTAGCAAGTAGCCAAAAGAAATTCTCTGCTTTATGATGAAATTCTTCTAATTCATCACCCGCACTTTGTATTTCTTTATCTAATCCAAAAAGTACTTCGGAAATTAATTTCCCATTTTGAACGACAATATCACTTTTTTTCATTATTACGCCGAGATCACGAATGATGACTCGATGTTTACTCATTTCACTTGTTTCTGAATAAAATATTATAAAAATTAAAGTTGAAAGAATTGAAAGTTATTAAGATAAATTGAGAGAAAATACTGTACCTGGAATTTCAAGTGATGATAATTTTTCTGAACCAGAATTAAATATCTTGGCTATGTTTTCAAGGTTGAGCCCTTCCTCAGCTAGAGAAATATTTTGTCCAAATCGCATCTAAATTT